TGGCTACAACAAAGTAGGAGGCCGAAGGGTGTGCTGGTGCTGTACCTGTGAGGCATTGCAGGGGTCAGATAATGGATGGCCTGGCTGCAGGGCCTTGAGGTAAGCTAGTGTGGAACACCAGGGGCAGCTCCACCTGCCTCACCTCATTGCCATGGCACAGGTGCGTTGCTTGGCCTCCTGCTCCATTGCAGCCATGAGCAAACAGAAGAAGCAGGCTAGCACCCATGTGTGGTCCTCCTGGTGCTGTGGCCATCAGGTGAGGCAGGTGTCAGAATACGGGTGGTCTGGCTGTGGGAGTCCTGAGGTAAGGTGGTGCAGGGCATATGGGGAAGCTCCATTCCCCCAGCTGATAATGAGCAAGCAAAAGTGGACCTTCCCTACATAGGGGAAAAAACAAGATACCTCCCAAAAATAAGCCCTAGTGTTTATTTTGGACACACATGCCCCCAAAATAAGACCCAGTCTTATTTGGGGGGGAACATGGGTAGTAAGTTGTATTTTGTAACTCAGCATAAATCCAGTATTAGCTAGACACGTAGAATCAATGAGAAGATGCTAAGGTGTCTTAAAAATTATTCCAAGGAGTACCTCTATTGCTTTAGATCGCTTGTTTCATAGTTCTGTTTTAGAATTGAAGAAAGTTGTTTAGCATCTTACCTTGAATGTAAAGGTCCCATATATATTCTAAACTTGTTTTCAGGTGCTACCCAAATAGTATTGAGATAGTAAAAGAGCAGAAAATATAATTGCAGGTCATTCTTCATTGAAAGTTATGTATCAAAAAAGGAAGAAGAATTTTGGAAGTTGCATTATATGGAATTTTATATGTCATACTATACATAGCATGAAAAGCAAACTTCTATCTGTGTAAAGGTAAATCTTTTCCTAATTCCCTTTTTTATTTTTGATCTTGCTAGCAGGTGCCAAGTCAGTTGAAAGGTAGATTTCACCTTCAGAAAGATGCATATTATCCCTTCTATAAGATGCTGTGGGCATATGTTATTGCAGCATATTAATCAAGGAAAGAAAAAGCAAAGCAAACAATGTTATGTCTGATGATGCGGATTCAATATTCTTGACATCTGAACACAGAATTTCTTCCCTGACTACTGTACTAAGTCTTTGTAGACTTGGTCCAGGGACATGCTATACATCTGACATGCTTCAAGAGAAGATCGGGAGCATTTAGTGCTTAAAACAATCCACAGCTTAAGTCTATTTTAATTATATTTTAAATTCCTCCTGGTCAATAAGAGATTTTTTAAAGTTCATATGAACAAGGCAGGAATAATATGAAAGCTGTTGCTCAGTTTGCTATTGGTTGCCATTTCCCCTTTTCTCCCCCCTCTTGAGCTAGATTAATCTGAAGAAGCAGAAAGCAGAGAAGCGGCAGATGAAAAGAATAGAACTAAGCCAAGGCAAATTTCAGGGAGATTGAAGAGTTGCTTGGCTAATAATACAGAATTCGAAATCTAGGATTTCTACACAAGGGCAATACATTTCTAGATCCCCATTTCTGATTTCATTACCATCCCAAATTTAAAATATGGAAATCTTTTTCATGTGACACACTTGCTTTATGTTTATTTGGAATGTCCATATGAACCTGCAAAATGCTGGTAGGACATAGGACAAAACTCCATCGTTTAACTGCTGTATATTACCCCTAATGAATCAAGTCCAATTCTTGGTAACTTGATGGACAGAAATCTAGTTTTCTTCACAGCAATCCAGAAGTGGTTTGTCCCTGCCTTCATCTTGGTTTTTTGTTCAGTTTTCCAATATAATTTATGCTTCAAGGATTTTCTGGTTCCCACTGCAGTACTAACCATGTCTATCCCTACTTAGTTTTTCAAGATTAGTCAAAAACAGCTACAAACTGAAATGCATATAGGGTTAACTCCTTAGAATTGCAAATTATAACCTGAATCTATCCATAGTTTTTCCAACCTAAAATGCACTGAAATTAACTTAGTATACCTAACAAGGCTGCTGTCAGCTTTGGAAGCCATATTCCACACTGCCACATAGCCTGAGAATTTGGGAGGAAGGTGATTTCAATTGAGTAGTTCTAAGTAAACAAAATAAAATTCTTTTCTTAGTTCAAGGTTATTAAGTGTAGCGCCTCAGAGAAAAAGGATCTTACACTGCGTCAGATTATGATTGGTCCATGTAATATGATGATGGGAGAAAAGGGGATGGATTGTAGTTTGGGACATTGTGGGAAGTTCAGGAAACTTTAGTTTCGAGATTCCACAGATGTGCCAGGTGCTATTCTAATAAAGGTACTTTTGAGATTATGCTTGTCTCAGAGTTACTGATTGGAATGGAGGTTTGCTGGAACGTTGACATCTGCAATTCTATGCATTATTATTTTGGAGTAAAGACCACTGAGTTCAGAATGGCTTACTTCAGAGGAAACATTCATAAGTTAGTATTATATTCCTACTATCCCAAGCTTTCAGTTTGCTTTTACTCAGATAAATGTTCTTTCATTTCTCCATCAATTTCAATAAGAATAGTAATACAGTAAGCTTGTCTCTTGTGACAGTGGATGGGAATGTTATTCACAGATTACCTCAGACTTAGCTGGAAATTAACCAAACTCCTTAACCAAACTCCTTTAACAAAATGGGAGAAAGCAACTGAATATTTGTTTTTAACATCTCAAGGACTTGAAAAAAAATGCTTCTCTCTTCCTTAATGTAACATCCTTTGTCCCCAAAGAAAAAAAATATAATATAATATTTATATTGGTATGGATATGTATAATGGATATGTATGAGAGATAGAGATAGAGATAGAAAGAGATAGAGGGAGAGGGAGAGGGATAGAGACAGAGACAGAGACAGAGACAGAGACAGAGACAGAGAGTACAAGAGCAAGATACACAAATACAGAATCAAAACTCAGGGCTCCATAGGCCAATGCCAATATGTTGTGTTGATTTTATAAATTAATATATTTTTTTCAGAAAAAAATGGTAGTGTGTTTATGAATGTTCAAAATCATGGGTCTAACTTGCAAGAAAGTGTTTAATGGTAAATGGAATTCTCTTCTGAATTCCATAAAACTCTTAAAATCATGTTTTGTTTCCAGGCTTGGTGATAAGTTTGGGAGTTGAGTGTGTGTGTTTGATGTGCTCTTTCTGTTACTGTGGTTTTTTTTTTTTTTTTAACATGGGTTGCCTTTTTCTGTTTCTGTTTTACCAGTTTTATTTATGCTGCTCAGAGTCCACTGGCATGGACACCCATAACAAATCTCATGAAACAAATCAATAAAAATAGTACATTTGAGCATTTAATTTATATACATTAAAGTATCTGTGAGGCTTCACTTCAGCAACAATAATAACTATATGCAGACATAACAGAGAAAGGAAATATTTCCCTTCCTCCCATCTTTAATTTTGTTATGACAATGCTAGTAATTGGATTGTGAACCGTGACTCAAAATGAGATACAATGAGGTGGGCCCCTCAGGCAGAAGGTGCTAAAAGGAAAGGTATTGTATGTGCCATATGACTTGTTTTTCCTTTATAAAGTAGACACAAGCAGAAAATTCTGTTCCCTTTCAGGTATCATAAGTGCAGTCAGTTTTATAAACAGAACAGGAAAAGCATCACTTTATCTTCATGTTGTACATGGACCACTCTGTGGAAGACTTACTATTCAGTAGGAAATATCACAAGCATCTGTTTTTCCTTACATAAAATAATAAGTCTGTGAATTGAGATTGGCAGAAAAATCTCATGGTAATTAGAGACTGAGGAGACTCAGGAATCAAAGTCTACTAAACTTTCACTTGCTCATCAATGGCCTTGGTATACTATTTGGACTACAAGCAATCACCTATACAAGAAGGTCCTTGTTTTTCTTATTACTGACCCGAAGAAAAAGAAAGCCAAGAACACTGTCAATATCATTAATTCTTTGTCAAGCTTTCATGTCAAGGTAAATGTAGCAACAATAATAACAGTTCATTTAAATGCCGTATTGTATACGTTCAGACAGCCATCTCCTTTTGACAAGCAATGCTGTACATGCTTTTTATGGTCATTTTATCCTGTGATGTTGATCTTTTAGGCACACAACAATGTAAAACAAACATTTCAAGAGTCTTGATGGAGAGGACGGTCACTACAAATTAGCAGTGACAGCATCTAAAGGAACAAAGAATTCTTGCAGAAATATTTCCTGTAAGAAAAGCTCTTTTGAGACTTAGCCACTACATATAGAACTCTTGGCAGCTGGAAATAATTTCATAAATGAAGTAGAGGGGAAAAACACTCTTATTATCACTTTGGGAAGTTATCAGGAGCAGTAAATCATTATTTAAATAATTATTTGGATATTTGCTAACACAGTAGGCTGTGAAAGTCCCAAAGGTGCTTTTTCAAAAGGCAACTGGACTTCTGGTTTTTCTTTCAAGACGTTTCACTTCTCATCCAAGAAGCTTCTTCACCTCTGACTGGGTGATAGGAAATGGAAGGATTTATACTCCTTGCAGACAGCTGGTCATTTGCATTCTTTTAGAGAGTTATTGAAGCCATCTGGAGGTTTATCTGTGTTGTCAAGGTCACCTGAGTAGTGCAAACAGTTGTGGAGCCCTTTTGGAACAGTTGAAAGGACTGTGTTGTTGTCTCATATCCCCCCTCCTCTGTTGAGAGATGGCTGTTCAATGTTGACATAGTTGGCCTCTTAGGTGACAGAACCAACTTCAGCCAGACTAGATATGATATCATCTATCTCATAAACCAGATAGTCCTTTCAACAGTTCCAAGAAGTTTCCAGGTCAAGCAAAACATCTTAAAGGCAAACAACAACAAAATCCAGTTGTCTCCTGAAAAAGCACCTTTGGGACAACCATGACTTGGATGACTGAGTATCTCCATAGACTTCTCCTTCTATGGCATATGACAGTACTTTACAACTTGACACCCATATATCTTTAAGCCCTGGTGGTGCAGTGGTTATAATGCAGCATTGCAAGTCAACTCTACCTACAGTCTGGAGTTCAATCCTGACAGGTTCAAGGTTGACTCAGCTTTCCATCCTTCTGATATTGGTAAAACGAGAACCCAGATTGCTGGAGGCAATATGCTGAATCTGAAAACCACTCAGAGTGCTATAAAACACAATGGGTAGTATATAAGTCTAAGTGCTATTGTTATAGACTCCAACATTTGTTATAATATTTTGTTAATGCTACTGTATGAGAAAATATTAATATGCACCCAAGACAGTCATATCAAATATATTTAATTTAAATATAAATGAAATAAATATATTTTGCTTATGTTTTATCCTTAGACAATTGTTATAGAATATGATCATCTGAAATGCTATCAAATATTAACCAGATAAGGTTGTGTTACCTTCCATGGGGATAGCAACATCAATAGCACTTATCGACTTATATACCATTTCATGGTGCTTTACAGCCCTATGTAAATGGTTTACAGAGTCAGCATATTGTCCCCAGCAATCTGGGTCCTCATATTACCAGGGCGGAAGGCTAAGTCTTGAATAATTCAGAATCAAACTGAGCAGAGTTAATCTGCAGTACTGCTTTCTAACCACTGTGCCACTATGGATTACAATGCTTTTTATATCAGCTTTTGCAATTATAGTACCAAATTATGTAAAAGTATACATGGCCAATTTTTGAAGAGTCACAAGTGACAATTTGGACTCCAGAATTGTAAGACAGCTGCAAGAATTCTCTCTTGATTTACTGACATCAGAAATGATGATGTTGGATATTTTTTTGTTGGAGAACACATTTGTAACAATGACTGTAAGGGTAGGAATGAACTTCTGGAAGGCCATCTGCTTTTATTTCACTCATAAAACTCTCCAAACATTTTCCCTAAATGATCCAATATTACGTAATTAGTTTAAGACAATTTAGCCATAAATTTTAAACAATGCAATCTTGGAATTCTGAGAGTTTTCAGATTGGTTTCTGAGTGGATCTATGTGCTGTGCGTTGCCCACCCCAGATAAAACTTTTGCTTTGGAAAAAAGAATGCAAAAGCTGCTTTAGTGATAGAGCAACAAATAGACACAAAATTTGCCTACGTCAATTGAACAAAGAAGTACAATAAGAATTATCCCATAAGAGACAATTGTGCTTAAAATTATTACCTGATTTAGACTGCATTGATAGTCATAACTCTATTCATTTACATTTGTTTCACCTGTAAACTTTGGAAGGACTTTTGTATTGAAAGAAAGAATCAAAATGGATTATAGTAAAATAAATAACATGAGTGTTTCCCATGATTTGTTGGGTACAATGTAGATAAGTTATTTCTCTTTATATTTTGGTTGCAGGATATGTGCAGTGTACCAACTTCATATTAGGACTTCCACCCACAGATATCTAAAAGTTGTCTTTATAGCAGTGTGAAAAACAAGTCATAAAAATCTTACTTAAAACTGAGTTGCTTCCTGACGAAGGAAACTTTCTTTATCCTTTTTTTATTTTTACATTAGTGATAAAGTCCAAAATAGTTAAAGAACAAAGGATTATTTACTTTGACTGGTCCTACAGCCAAGCATCCTTATGTTCCTAGTTGCAAAACTGTTAGAAAGTTGCTAAAAATACAGTTTTACAGTTTAGGACTTAAGCTATTTAAAAAAAAAAGTTTTATTGTTTTTTTAAGACAAACATAAACAAACACAACGTAAAAACATCAAACCATCTTCCATATATGTACATACAGTGTGTTGGTTGGTTTACAAATTGTTTTGTGCTTCCACTTCATAGTCTTCAATTAGAATTACATTGTATATGTTCTCATATTGTCAATCAAATATTCCTAAATACATTAATATCTTTATTAATCAATCATTCGATTATACTATTATTCATTCATGTTTTATGAAATAATTCACATTTTACTTAATTTATTTTATGACAGTTCATATTTCCATCTCAAATCTATCCTATAATCATTTTGTAGATATATTAAAAAAATACATCTTTATATATTCATTATGTTCTAAAAATCTACATGTTTCATTATCATTTTTTATTGTCTAACCATTGATAGAATAGATCTCAAATTATCTTCTTGTTCTCTGATTTCAAATGTCAATCTACTCATTTCATCACATTCCATTATTTTCTTAATAACTTCCTCCTGTGTTGGTATTTTCTCATTTTTCCAGTTTTTAGCAAATACAATCCTAGCCGCTGTTAATACATTTACAATCAAATATTTCAATTCTTTACTATATATTTCAGGTAAAATTCCCAATAAAAATATCTCTGGTTTCAAGTCTATATGCTTTTTTGTCATTTTTTCCAAACATATGTGGATTTTAGTCCAATATTTTTTGGCATTCACTCATGTCCACCACATATGGTAATATGAGCCAGGTATCTGATGACATTTCCAACATTTTTCAGACTTGTTCTTGAACATTCTTGCTATTCTTGTTGGGGAAAAATGCCACCTGTAAAACATCTTATACAAATTTTCTTTATATGCTGTTGACATTGTCATTTTATAATTTTGAGACCACAATTTTTGCCATTTCTCTAAATCAATCCCATATCCAAAATTCTTCCCCCAAGCAATAATTGTTTAACTTGTTCTTCTTCTAGTTTAATTTCTAATAAATATCCATACAGTTTTTTTAATCACCTTTTTATCAGCCCCTAAAACTGTTAGAAAGTTGCTTCTAAAAAAACAGTTTTACAGTTTAGGACTTAAACTAATTATAATATATTGAGTAATATATTCAGTTTTATTAATAACTCTAAATTTGCTGAGAATTTTCATATGCAGAGTTTCTTTGTCACTCTCTGGTGTTTCTATACAATTGGCTGTTCCATTTCATAAGCGTCTCAAAATGTTAAAGGTTTTGTGCAAATAACTTTGGCAACTTCAACAACTAGTTTATGAATTCTGTTTATCCTCAGGATTGGTGATTAAACATATCTGATTGTTTCTATCTATGTGTTTGGGAGAATTCCTATGCATTCCTGGGCTGTAGAACTGACAGTAATTCCATTGACATTGCACTATCAAATGTAGCTATATTCCATATGTGGTAGCAATTCTCATTTAGGCTTTGCCTAGTTAGGACAGTACATGATGACAGGATTCATGGCACTAGAAGATATAAATCTATTGTTATGTTATAAAGTTGCATTTCTTATCTTGAAATAATGCAGTCTTAATTACAACCTTTCAATTTTGGTATCATTTGATGAATGAAGCAGGTCATCTCATATTGAACAGTATATGGGATTGCAGTTTCCTTTGGAAGACCTTCCCTTTGTCATAGATTTATCTAATTTCCCCTTAAAGTTATTTGTATACTGATCATTTCCACATCTTGTGGCAATTAAATCCACTATGCAAATGCCTAAGGAATTCTTCCCTTTTCCTTAATTCATTATAAATTCAATAAGAACATGTGGATCATAGAAACCTACTTAAGTTAGCTATTTTTCCCATTTACTCCACATAGTCTGTAATATTTTGTTGCTATGACTTGTCAAAGTTTCAAAAAAGGAGTGTTTTCTACTTCTGTGTCAAGATGAGAGGGGCTGAATGGGAAAGCTTTTGCACATAAAATTTATGCAAGGAAGAGAAAATATGTCATAATTCAATTTGAGCTTCACTAGAAAGAACATTTCCCACTAAATATGGAAGCTACATCATCCCAAGATTTTGTTTTCCTGAAGGGTAAGCATGAGTCCTATCTAAAAAAAAACCTGTAGCTAGGTTCATGAAACATGCTAAATCTTAAAATGGAATTAAGAAACTCAATAGCTGTTTTCAGATTACAATGCTAGACCTAAACAAATTACACTGCTCAAAAAAATAAAGGGAACACTTAAACAACACAATGTAACTCCAAGTCAATCACACTTCTGTGAAATCAGACTGTCCACTTAGGTAGCAATACTGATTGACAATCAATTTCACATGCTGTTGTGCAAATGGAATAGACAACAGGTGGAAAGCATAGGCAGTTAGCAAGACATCTGCAGGTGGTGACCACAGACCACTCTCAGTTCCTATGCTTTCTGGCTGATGGTTTGGTCCCTTTTGAATGCTGGTGGTGCTTTCACTCTAGTGGTAGTATGAGACGGAGTCTACAACCCACACAAGTGGCTCAGGTAGTGCAGCTCATCCAGGATGGCACATCAATGCGAGCTGTGGCAAGAAGGATTGCTGTGTCTGTCAGCATAGTGTCCAGAGCATGGAGGCGCTACCACGAGACAGGCCAGTACATTAGGAGATGTGGAGGAGGCTGTAGGAGGGCAACAACCCAGCATCAGGACCGCTACCTCCACCTTTGTGCAAGGAGGGATAGGAGGAGCACTGCCAGAGCCCTGCAAAATGACCTCCAGCGGGCCACAAATGTGCATGTGGCTGCTCAAACAGTCAAAAACAGACTCCATGAGGGTGGTATGAGGGCCCAACGTTCACAGGTGGGGGTTATGCTTACAGCCCAACACCGTGCAGGACGTTTGGCATTTGCCAGAGAACACCAAGATTGGCAAATTCGCCACTGGCACCCTGTGCTCTTCACAGATGAAAGCAGGTTCACACTGAGCACATGTGACAGATGTGACAGGGTCTGGAGACGCCATGGAGAACGTTCTGCTGCCTGCAACATCCTCTAGCATGACCGGTTTGGCACTGGGTCAGTAATGGTGTGGGGTGGCATTTCTTTAGGAGGCCGCACAGCCCTCCATGTGCTCTCCAGAGTTAGCCTGACTGCCATTAGGTACTGAGATGAGATCCTCAGACCCCTTGTGAGACCATATACTGGTGCGGTTGGCCCTGGGTTCCTCCTAATGCAAGACACTGCTCGACCTCATATGGCTGGAGTGTGTCAGCAGTTTCTGCAAGATGAAGGCATTGATGCCTTCATCTTGCAGGACTGGCCCTCCCGTTCCCCAGACCTGAATCCAATTGAGCACATCTGGGACATCATGTCTCGCTCCATCCACCAATGCCACATTGCACCACAGACTGTCCAGGAATTGAGGGATGCTTTAGTCCAGGTGTGGGAGGAGATCCCTCAGGAGACCATCCACCACCGCATCAGGAGCATGCCCAGGCATTGTAGGGAGGTCATACAGGCACGTGGAGGCCACACACATTACTGAGTCTCATTTTGACTTGTTTTAAGGACATTGCATCAAAGTTGGATCAGCCTGTAGTGTTTTTTTCCATTTTAATTTTGAGTGTAACTCCAAATCCAGACCTCCATGGGTTGCTAAATTTGATTTCCATTGATAATTTTTGTGTGATTTTGTTGTCAGCACATTCAACTATGTAATGAGCAAAGTATTTAATAAGAATATTTCATTCATTCAGATCTAGGATGTCTTATTTTTGTGTTCCCTTTATTTTTTCGAGCAGTGTATATTCTGGCTTAATACACTAGTCTGAATCACAGAACATTCTTAGATAATGGCTGGGTTCCCATGACACAAGCAAAGACAAACTGCTTGGTCCAATTTTATATTAGTACAAGTCATTGTGTGAATTCACCCTATCTGTAGATTAGGAAGGGGTCTAAAACTTTGATTCCAAAGTTTTTCTTGACCAGTATTTGGTGCAAAACTGGAAAAAGCAGTACTGTAGAAACTGTTCCTGTACATTAAGATAGACCAATAAGAATTCTATAGTCTTAGATTGAAAACAAAACAAATTTTGAAGTACATGAGTAATGAGTTCAGCAGGACTGTGATCCTTGTAGAAATGGGATTTGAGATTCTTCAAATGCAAAGAAAGAGAAAAGCAACTATTGCTAAAAACGCTTTTGATATATTACTATAATTTTGTATTTCCTCTCTTCCATAACTCCCTTTCTTTTCCAATTTGACAGTTAACCCCCAGGAGTCCCAATAGTAACAAACCAATGTGTGTTTTGATAGTCCTTGACATTATGTGTCATAATATTCTAAACACAAATATACTAATGCTGGAAAATTAATGCTTCTTTAAAAAATGGTCTCCAATTTATGCTATTTATATTTGATTTGAAAGAAATTACATTGTCCCCCCCCCCCTGCAAAAAAAACCTCAAAACAACATTTCAATGAAATTTCATGGATGGATTGTGTGGTGGTTATCTTACTTGCACAATAATTCAAATGTATGAGAAAGAAGTGATGTCCTATTATTTTAATTTAAAAAATCAACCTTAACTTCATACTAAAATATTCTTTCAGGATTTTATGAGCTTTTTTTTTTCTTGCAAAGCTTTGCTCTAAGTCCAGCCTACAAGTTTTCCAAATATCTTCATATCTACAAGTTGTAGCTGCTGCCCTGAAGGATCACAAGGTGAAGCAATAATGCTTGGGATCTCATGTGTGGTAGAATTGTAGTATTTATTTTCAGTTGATTTTTCATCCTGGAAACATGTAGTAAGATGTAGCTGCAAAGCAAATGGACATGAAAACTGCTGGATGCACTTTGCCATAATGAATTCTTAAAACTACTGGAATGTTAAAGAAGTTTGCTGGGCTGGAAAGATGAGAGTTCAGAGGTAAAAAAAATGTTATTTTCTTGTTGTGGCAGGGCTATCATATTAATTATATTTTAGTACACTAACTTTGCATTTCATATACTATTTTATAAAAAATATATTTTCTTGTCAAGAAATCTCTGATTCAAGGTTGGCTGCACATAAATGGCTCTCCACAGGAAACCCAGGAAATGCAGACACCACATAAGGCTGCCACATACAAAGAAAATACACAAAATTCACAAGTTAATCTGTTTTGAAATATTGACTGCAGGTTCAATAATAATCTATTCTAGCATTTTATACTAGATTTAAGATATATAACATGAACATAGTCCAAGCAGAGAAGAACATATTCCAAGCATTTGTTTAGGGAACTTGTGTCTCATTTTTCTTTCCTTTCCTTAGTTCATTCTCTGCTAAAAGTAATTAAGGAAAACAATACAACATTATTTCAATTAGATGGTATTGCTTGCAGCTGATTGAAAATAAGTAAGAACTGTAGTTGTCTTGGTCTCCCTAAAAAGACTCCAATAACACATAGGTGAGGTGTGTTCATCATGGTGAGTCTCAAACTCATCTAAATGCTGATTCAGATATGATCTCACTAAACTCCATAATGGCTTTGCTGAGAATATACCTAGCACATATACTTAGCGCACCAAAAACATAACTGTAAAAGACAGACCAGAAATAAAAGTTAAAATAAGCAAAAAAATAGTAAGAGAACACTTGTCTGATCTTGATGAAAACAAATCACCGGGGCCTGATGGATTACATCCCAGAATTTTAAAGGAGCTGGCAGAGGTCATCTCAGAATCACTGCACCATATCTTTCAAAAATCCTGGAGCACCGGGGAACTACCAGAGGACTGGAAAAGAGCTGATGTGGTTCCCATCTTCAAAAAAGGAAAAAAAACAGACCCAGGAAACTATAGACCAATCAGCCTAACATCAATACCCGGGAAGATACTGGAAAAGATAATAAAAAAACAGATCTGCCAACATCTAGAAACAAGTAAAGTAATAACTAGCAGTCAGCACGGGTTTGTTAAAAACAGATCATGCCAAACCAATCTTATTTCATTCTTCAACACAGTGACTGATTTAGTAGACCAGCAAAATACTGTGGACATAATATATTTAGATTTCAGCAAGGCATTCAATAAAGTACACCACAACCAACTTCTTAGTAAGCTAGAAAAAAGTGGAATAGATAGCACCACCACTAGATGGATTCACAACTGGCTGGCAAATCATTCTCAACGAGTAGTCCTTAATGGGTAAGTCTACATGGAGGGAAGTAAGCAGTGGGGTGCCACAAGGTTCTGCCTTAGGCCCAGTACCCTTCAATATCTTCATTAATGACTTAGATGAGGGAATAGAAGGGGAACTTACCAAATTTGCAGATGATATTAAGCTGGCAGAAATAGCTAACACCCAAGAAGATAGGCTCAAGATCCAGATGGATCTTGACAGACTAGAACACTGGGCCATATCTAACAAAATGAAATTCAATGTAGAGAAAAGTAAAGTCCTACACTTAGGCAAGAAAAACCAAAAGTACACATATAGACTGGGTGAAACCAGGCTCAATAGCAGTAACTGTGAGAGGGATCTCTGAGTCTTAGTAAATATGAGCCAGCAGTGTGCAGCCGCCACCAAAAATGCTAATGCAATCCTAAGTTGTATTAACAGACGGATACAGTGAAGATCAGGGGAAGTACTAATATCACTCTATAAAGCCTTAGTAAGACCACACCTAGAGTACTGCATCCAGTTTTGTTCACCACATTACAAAAAAGATGTTGAGACTCTAGAAAAAGTGCAGAGAAGAGCAACCAGGATGATTAGGGGACTGGAGGCTAAAACATACAACGAATGGTTGCAGGAACTGGGCTTGGCTAGTCTAGTAAAGAGAAGGACCAGGGGAGACATGATAGCAGTCTTCCAATATTTGAGGGGCTGTCACAGAGAGGAAGGGGGTCAAGCTATTTTCTAAAGCTCCTGTAGGCGAGACAAGGAATAATGGATGGAAACTGAACAAGGAGAGATTTAGCCTGGAAACAAGGAGAAACTTTCTGACAGTGAGAACAATCAACCCATGGAACAGCTTGCCCTCAGAAGTTGTGGGAGCAATATCACTTGAGACTTTCAAGAATAGATTGGATTGCCATTTGTCAGAAATGGTGTAGGGTCTCCCGCTTGGCCGGGGGGGGGGGTTGGACTAGATGACCCACAAGGTCCCTTCCAACTCTGATTATCTGTATCACATTAAAGCACATGCTTTATTATTTTTTTAACTATGCTGTTTCTCCAATTTTCTATGTTGATTGAAACAATAGTCTAAGCTGAGAAAATCTCTTTCTACATTAGCAATGTCAATAGTATAAACTTCTTATATAATGCCATTTTTCTACATTTTTCCCTGGAAAGTTGGTCTTGTATTTCTTTGATACATTTCTGTTGTTTATATTTTCTTTCTACTAGGACAGGGGTGTCAAACTCAAGGTCCGCAGGCTGGATCTGGAGTACTTAAATCTGAGTCATGGGTCAGCATGGAAATAGCAAAGGACTGGCCTTCGGTACCTCTGGCAGCCAAAACAGGATGCAGGGGTCTACACACAGCCTGCACGTGCCCCGTTTTCAGCCTGGATGGTCTCCTGGAGCACTCTGATCACCAAAATGGGATGCAGGGGCCCATGTGGCCCATTTTTAGCCTGAACTGCCTCCTGCTTCTGCCAGCCAAAATGGTTTT